AGGTGCATGTTAGCGATGAAATAAGAAAGTGAAGAAAGGTAAAAACCACCAGCTGATTGATAGCTCCACATCTGTTTCAGACCACACCCCCACACAGATTCTTTTCTTACCTTTTGTCAGTTTCCTTTGAAATCCTGCCCCTCTGGCAACAGCACAAACCCCCCTCACACTCAAACCCCAACAGTGTGTCTTTAAAGAGCTTTTATAACTAGATAAATCATAATAAATAGATATCAGAAAGGTGAGATGAGATTTAAAGGGTTTGTGCTCCAGATGTTTGTTTTAAATTTTGGTTTTGGACTTTTCTTGAGAGGAAAGTCACGTGTTACCATGAGTGACCACAGGGTGGCGACAAACTCCCCAAATCAATTCAATTCATCATTAATAAGCTGCTGCAGTGACTGAAGATGATCTGATCAGAATCAGAAACTCTTTATCGTAACCAAGACAAACAAAATAATACCGGTACTGTTATAATAAAATACAATAAATACAAAAACAATGAAAGATGCAATATATAATTTCAGATCTGCAAACAAAGAAGGAAAAAAAAAGTTAGGGTGTGACGGGTTATTTGAAATCCTCTCAGTTTAATGAGGCGGAGCATTGAAGCTCTTCCAGTGAGGGGTACAGGACATCCTTTATGACCCCCCCCCACCCTGGAGCTCGGCTGCAGGACTACAGGTCCAGGCAGGAAGTCTGAACGTTCTTGACTGAGTCTCTGCTGGGCCTTCTCCACCAGCTCGGCTGTGTCGACCCCCCCAGGTCAGACGCAGATTAGGATTAATGGAACTGTTAGATTTTATTTGCTCATTTTGGTGCAATATGAAGAATGTCTTTATGTTTTAAGTTAATATATAATCTTTATTTTGTAGATTTTAGGACCTGAATTGCTACATTTATATTTTTATACTTATGCAGTGACTTCTGTTCATTCCTGTAGCTCAGGAGTCTGCAGTCTGTGGTTTGGGGTCAGATAAAACTCAGGTTGGATTTCTTGAAACTTTGCTCAAAAAGACATGAAATCAACTTTTTTAAGACTAGCTTTATTTGTTTTCCAGTCAGTTTGTTTACTCGTGGTCAATGATAAGACACGAAGTGAAACATGCCAATTAGATCAGGGGTTCTTAACCTTTTTGACCTCGGGGCCCAATTTGTTGAACATAAAGTGACACGAGGCCCAGTGAGGCATTACCAATGTATGGATCAAAATGATAATTATTCTAAATCTTCAAAAAGAAATAAAAGTAGGTCCTCTGGATGGGTTCTTCTTTAGTGAAACGTTTCGTCTCTCCTCCAAGAGACTTCTTCAGTCTGATGAGTTTCAGGTGA